TATGATACTAAATAAAACGCCGAAATTAAGCTTGTTTTCGTGTGCTGTCACGAGGGCGGATAAATAACGCTTTCATGATGTCATCATGACGACCGACTTATTGAAAAACCTGCTATTGAACCTTCCACGAAAATCATGGAATTTATGATTACAGTACATGGAAAGTTTCTTGTTTATTTTATATTTATTGTTTTCTGTAAAAGGGTTAATTATTCATTGGGTTTTAATTTTGCTTATTTCGCTGACTGGAAAATGCGCTAATTTAAGACCCAGTAAATATGTAAAATTTAGCATAGAACACATTAAATGATAAAACCGTGAAATTAAAATCCAATGAATATGCCTGAAATGGTGAATCAGCGAAATTTGAACGCAGTGAAAAGTAGTCATTTACGGTAATATTGTTTTATAAAATTATTTGTTTTATTTACACTATGAATTCCAGTGAACAAATCATATCGTTTGAGCAAAGAGAAATTTCATTGTAAATTTGTTTAAAATGTATATTTTATTTCATTCACTGTGTTGCTATTTTTTGTCCCAAAATATGACTTAGAGCCGATATTTCTTTTTTCGCTCGGGAGAATGTCTGAAAACGCTGAAGAAAGTGTAGTTATTATTGTGTATTATTATTAAGAAATACTGGATATCATATAATCCTAGTTTGAATTCAACATAGAGGGTTTCAAGGACTTAAGAGCCAAAATTTCGGATTATTATAATCCCTATGACGAATGGGTTAATTTCTAACCTAACGAGGGTTGAACTCCAGGAAGTTCACGATTCCTCGGGTGAATTTTCAACAGACATTACGGGAGATTCCAGCTACCGTAGACTTGTTAAAATCTCAAGACTGCGACTTTGGGGACATTGGTTTACGGGTTCCGTAAGAAATGTGTGTGTGTAAATGTGTAAGGTCAACACCAGGATGGCGCATTATTTACTTATTTATTTTAAATGTATTATTATGATATAATGGAATTCATATTTGTATGACATGTGTCCGAAAATGCGTCACCTTCGTGCTTCGTACAGTCTTGATAATCGATTCAAATAGTTCTTTACGTCAATGTAATTCGTTAAAGTGACGTCTACGCTGGTGAGTGATAAGAGGATGTAGTGACCCGTAATTATAGATGCATGCACTATGTTTCCTTTTCAAAATATTCGAATCCACATTGAATTTAGTTATTATCAGGTGCTGCATTCAATAATGAGAAATACTAACATCCCATGTTATCAATTATTTATTTGTCCATTTAGCGTTTGGTCACCTGTTATATTTAAGCGATTGAAATAAACATAGACGTAAAACGTGATCGGAGCCTCGTTAATATCCTGTCTTTATTGGAAAATTCACAAATTAAAAATAAAATTTATACCATTTGCACTCAGTATAAGTTGATGATACTACATTCAATTTTCCTGATCTACCAAATTACATTTCCGGCCTCTCGTACTACTTTTCAGCTTTCTAAAATAACCTTTCCAACTTTGCAGGAGTCTTTCTTGCCTTCTTAAACGACTCTACGAACTTTCCTTGCAACTATCTCGGTCTCCAATGCAACATTTAAGACTACGCAAGCAACTTTTCAGACGTTCCAAAATACTTGTGAACCTTTCATAAAGTCCTGCATTCGCTAATTGTCGAACCTTTCCCGTTTTTCGAAACACCTTTTGTGACTTGCGACTTTTGACAGGAAGTACTAGTATTTCCTGTATTATCAAACAGCATTGTGAGCTTTACTGCCCTCCAAAGCAACTTTTTGTACTTTGTAGACAACTTTCCTGTCTTCTCAAACCGCTTTGCGAACTTTTCATAGAAGTTTTCCGTATTCCAATGCAACTTTCACGACTTTATTGGCTTCTTTCCTCATCTAATAATAAAATAATTTCCCGCCTCCCAATACTAATTTTCTACCTTTGCAGACGATTTTCTTTTATCTTTTAAAACCACTTTGTGAATTTTTCATACAACTTTTCCGCCTTGCTATACAATTTTTATGACTTTTCAGAGGACATTTTTTTTTACATCTCAAACAAATTTCTCGCCTCTCAAAGCCACTTTTGCAAACGACTATTTTGTCGTTTGAAACCACTTTGCGAACTTTTCAAACAACTTTTCCGCTTTTCAAAGCAACTTTTATGACCTTCCAAACAACTTCCCACTGAATCGTTCTTGAAAGAACTTCACATGCGCACAAGCATTTTTAGCTTTCTTTCGTTCTTTTTTATCACAAGCTCGGCATAAATAGTTATGTCATAGTTAATATATTTAAGTATTTTTTTTAAATAACAACATCATGTTCCAAGAAAAGAATAAAAGTTTATTGCGAGAATGTCCCAGAGTATGCACGTAGTGGGAGAGCGTCCGCTATCTTGAAAATACAGCGTAATCGTTCCATATTTGGAATTTACATTTCTTATACATGTATATGTTAGGATGCAGATACTCTGCGCATTATCACAAAATTATGCAATGATGTAACTTATGGCGATACGATGACATATGTATATTAATAACGGATATATATATATATATACCATAGAAGAAACGCTACTTGGGTCTCCTCGCAATGCCTCTCCGCCAATTATTCATGCGATTTAGACTCGGGTTTCCGTGAATATCAAGTGATTTCTACTTGAATGCATGACAAGAAACATTTATTCTTGATTGCGCCCTCTATTGTCAAGAAGGACTAATCTTTTTGTTTATAACTTAAAACAATTTTTTTATAGTTACCTATAAATTTAATTTCGTATGTCACGTGGAGATTGAGAAATTCATTCCTGATTGTATTTAGCTTATTTGTATTTCACCATGATATAACTTTGTAATTATATTACTAGTATCGGGTCTTTTATATTCTTTTCTGCAATGTTCTTTCGTTTTTGTTTTGAGGCTATTTCGCACACTCAGCTCAGTAAAACACTCGATATATTGTACATGTATGACTTTCTGTGTGTAGTGACTTACTACCATGTTCATCCCCTACCCCACCCCCCACCCTCTGTCTTAATTTCTTCCTCATCTTCCTTCTTGTTCCTCGGATCGCGGCACTCGACCTTGCCCCATATGTGATCTCGATGTTATTTTCGATAGTATTTTTAACCCAGATTATACCGAGTCTGGGGTTGATGTGGGTATCAATGTTCCAGGATTTGCCCCATACTTTCTCTCCAAAACCCGTGGTGGGAGGGGTCGCATTTCTTGCAGTACTCGGGTCATTTATAGCGCCAACAGTAGTTAGTCCCGTACCTTCAAGCAACGCGAGAGTTTGAACTCGGTTAAAAAAAAATCACACGCCGATGCCGGCTTTCTGATGTTGTGTTGTTGTCTTCCACAAACACTGGTGTGAAACAGGTGAAGTATTCTTTACGAGAACACAAACCAATGTTAAGATGTATACATAGCGTGATTTTATAATGAATCGGCAAGACTCTTTGACCAGAATGACTCCGATTGTCGATTTCTGTCTTTATGATTGCTCTGCCAACAGTCCCTCTATAGAGGGACTGTGCTCTGCCTCTGTTTTTGGCACTGCACACTGTACCCCAGACTGTACATTCTGTGTGTTTAGTTTGCATTTAATTTTAAAAATAGCTTCTACACCCGTCTAAAATCAACGCCATGTCATGGAATTACAAATCATGTAGTGTCGCGACTATGTGTAATACAGTCTATTACAGATCTACGACTGTACACATTGTTTTGTTGATTTTACTAGTAATATTTTTACTTTCCCAAAAGTCATTGTTGCGCCAATAAATAAATTTAAAAGAAAGATTGTCCATTTTGCCCGATAATAGCGAGTTAAATACTGTATAGCACCATTGCTAAAATCCCTTGACAAATCTGCAGGGCCAGAAGTTCTCTAGGCCATTAGCCCTGAGTACAGTCCTGTGAGAGTAGACGAAATTTACATTCCCTTGTCGGGTGCCCTGGATCCTGCTATAAAATAAATGTGGTGGATGTGCAAGACTGAATGCATTCAGTGCTGTTTCTGGCCATCATTTGTTTGTGTTTGCTTCATCTGTTTTGTCGAAAACAGTGTGCACTAATTTGCTGCACTTAAGCAGGATTAATGGCAGTGTTTGAGTGGTCAGCCAACTAGGAGTGAATAGTTGCGTTCACGCACAGCTTCTTAGCACGGGCTAAGAGGTCAAATTCCTTAGCCCGTGCTAAGAAAACGTGCGTGAACGCTTAGCACGGGCTAAGGAATGCTGAGTACGGGTTAAATCTGATCCGAATTTAAGACATGCTCTAGACCCTTAGCACAGGCTAACGAAGTATGCGCGAATGCTTAGCCCAGGGCTGAGCGCCTTCTGCGGCGACCTTTGGGTGTGAAAATTATGCATGTGATCAAATACATCCAACTTTCTCATTCCCATGTTCGTATAACGACTCTATTCCACCAGTCATTACTCCGCGCTTGCTTCCACACTGATCGGCTCGCTGTAGTAGAGCGTACAGCAGCTCCAATTGTAGACAAAATAAATTTGGTTCGCTGTCTACAACATGCATTAATAAAACTCTGTATTCTGTTGCGCCGTTGTATACTGTTTCCGTGCATCCAAATAAATTGAGTCCGTCTTCTCCCGCGTTCCTGTGCACGTAGCTTCAAAATTAGAACGAAACATGCCAGCAGCAGAAATAGAACCTCGTGTTATCCATTTTTCGTTCGTAAATATCGGCTTACCAAAGGTCATCGACTGATAGCGCCCCTTAGCCCTCTATGTGCGTGGATGCAATTGGGTCTAGCCGAAATGCAAAAATGTTAGATAAACCTAAATCAGCTTAAATCTTAGCCCGTACTTCGTGTAACGTGAACACAACTATAATCACCCACCCAGACCCCGGGCTACCTCTCTAATTCTACTATACTTGTCAGTAATGCAAGTCATCCTTTTCCCCATCCCCTATTTGTCATTGCAATATTTAAAAAAATCATCCATTCATAAAGTGTCAATTTACCATTTATAATTTTTTCAGCAAGACAATGGCAGATATTAAAAACTTTCTCTATTCATGGTGTGGGAAGAAAAAAGTTGTACCACAATATGAATTCCGAAGTGCTGGATCCAAACATCGACAGAGATTCATGTGTGAAGTGAGTATACAAATAGTTTAATTTACATGTATGTACACCAAACAGGGCAAGAAATTTCTGATACCAAGGCTATTATTTCGACAATTACTGATAGTACCCCACTGTACTGTACTGTATTTCCATTAATTCTGTAATGGTTACTTGTGTCATAAAATGAAAGAAATGTTGTAAATCATTAAATTGTGTGTTTAGGTACGTGTACAAGATTACGATTACATCGGTGTTGGTAATTCTACGAGCAAGAAAGATGCCCAAGCAAACTGTGCAAGGGATTTTGTAAACTACCTCGTCAGAACTGGTAATTGCTTGGCGAGTGAGGTCCCACAAACTGGGGTATGTATTTTACAAAGTGATATTTGTTTTAAATTATGGTGATAGAGATCGCTGAAATTTGTACTTTAATTGATAGAATGTGAACTGCCCTTACACTATGTTTCACAAAGACTGTGCAATGGGAGTATCTTTTTCTCTCAAGGATACATCATACATTTTGAGAATACCAAAATCCATAAAGTTTAAAACAGATTTAGCAAACTTCTTTGTGTGGGGTCCAATCAAACTTTGCACTGGGAGCTGCCATGTTTGTTTTTATTATTAGAGGATGCTTATGCGCGTAATTATCCCGTATTTGGAATTCGCATTTCCTAATATGGTAGAATGAAAATACCCAGTGCAATACCGCAAAATACGACGCTCTGTAACTTACGGTGTTACAGTGACAGATGTATGATTATTCAGCGAGACATGTTATGACTTCAATTCAAATACTGATACTGTATTTGCTCTATTAGAAGTGCATGCAATTACCTACATGTCTTGTTAATATCAGTGTGAGGTTCGTGGATTTACAATTTTGGCTGACATGTGCCTCTGCTGGAGATGTGCTTCTAATAGATCAAATATAGTTTTCTTTTATTTACTACGTGTAGTTGCTCATGTCTGTTTCTATGACAGGCTAATCCATTACCAAGTGTATTAGAGACTGCTGGTGGTGCTGCATTGCCTGATGGAGCTGGTGTTCTGCCGTCTGGTGTGGCACCCCCTCCACATCAAAGCGCAAGTATTAGTATCGGTGAGTAATGCAACACATTCCACATACTGTAACGCTGCTGTCTTGCAAACATCATGAAAAGTGTATTATGAAAGATTTGATTTGATTTGATTTGATTTGATGAATTATACTTTTGTAGCACAAGCAGAATATGTCATTAATCCTGTATTACCTGGTAAGTAGCACGTGCACTAACATGAATGAGCGAAATGTGTGTCTATTGTTGAACAAAGTCATATTGTATTTATCTGGCATAGGTTGATTGCAATTTTTTGCTAAGTGCATTTCAATTAGAGATGTGCTTCTAATAGACCAAATACAGTAATCTTGTTGATAAAGTGTATATTATGTTTGGCTTGTTACAATTTTAATCTGAGATGTACAGTGTATACATGTGACTATGTCAGAACTACGACCACTGATGTGTAACAATATTGTTGTCTCAGTATGATGCAATTGTTTCATAGGACCTGGAGAAGGTACAGCTAGAATGTTGCCATCTTTATTTGATGCTAGTCAACCTGGTGGAGGAGAGGAGGGATTCAGACAGAAGTATTTTGATGCAGCTGGAGATCGTAAAAAGTTTAGGGGTAAGACGAATCTATATTTTGGGACACCAAAGCCATTATACACTGGGTGAGTGTGTCATAGAATCAATTGGAAAATCTTGATCAGATTTTTGGCCCTGGTTAGTGCAAAAATATTATGACAAATCATGATGCCATAATGATAGAAAGTTATTTCACACAGCCTGTTACTTTGAATGTGATTTCTGGCAAAAAACACTATGGTGCACCATTAGCACTTAAATTAGTAAAAGTATCAGGATAAAGCTGAGACATTAAATGGCACATAGTTTTAAAAATTTTCCTGGTATCTTATAATAACTATCACACTGTAATGACAATACACAATTCTCAATAACTGCTAAATATTTTTAACAGAGTGAAAGTGTTGATTTGAATGCTGGTCTCCATGGCAACTGGACTTTTGACAATGCCAAATCTCGTTTACATCAGTTTATGCAGACAAATCGCATCAATGCGGAGTATAAATACACCACGGTTGGTCCGGATCACAATAGGTAACGTTGGTAATAATTTTATCTATAAAAATCTCAAATAACCGCTAATTTGGCACAATTTGGTTAAATTTTCCTGAATACAGAATCAAAAGTTAGGGACCGTAATCACTGTTGTATGCATGCGTATTGCATGCATTATGTCTCGCCACTCCCCATTGTGCCAAATCCATGGCTTAGTTTGAGTGGGCAGCCAATCACCAAATGTTTAAAAAAACTCTCTGATAAAGTCATAAACCCAGAGCACTTCATTTAGAACATCAACACTTTGAAAAGAAATAATGTTAAACAAATAAATTGTATCATAAACTATTATGTTTAGATAAAATGAGATGCACACAATTCAAAATTACAATTTGTCTGTAGGTTTAACTTTTATTATGTTTTTTTTTTTTTCAATAAATTAATTGACTGGTCAGGTACTTTGTAAGACTAATTGTCTGGAATTTTGCTAAAAAAATCAGTGAACAGTAGTGTTAACTTCTATAAAATGTCATCGTCTTATATGTGCTGAAATCACTTTTAATCAGATTTAACAGTAATTAGAGAAATATTGGTAATACAGTTGTATGTAAACACCTATGTGAACTGAACTCATTTCTCAGTCCCTTTGGTGTTTAGCTGTTATTGTTGTGTATATCTTGAGATTAGTAGTACTACATGTTGTAAAGTTTCACCTCATAAAGTCACTGGGTTATTACAGAGTTCATTTGCATACTATGTATATGTTATGAAAGAGACTCTGTGGCTGTGAGACATGTGTAGACTTTGTGAGGTGTTACTAATAAATGCTCACTCTGTGTTTCGTTTGTCAACACCGATAGAGCATTGAAATGCCACCTGATATATCACCATTTGCAGAATTGATCAAGACACCACATCAAAAATCACAGTTGCCTATGAATACGTCATCGGTTTTTAACTTACTTGGTGGTTCAATGGCTTGGTAATTAAATCATGGCAGCCATATTTTGATTCTTGCCCCCATGTTGTTTTGTAGAGAGACTCACCATTGTCTGTTTGCATTAAGTTGATGTTGTTAGTGAAAGTGATTTTCTCCACTACCATTAGCAACATATAAAGTGAATATTTAGTGATTTTTGATGTGGTTTCTCCATAAAAGGTGATATATCAAGTGTCCAGAAATGACTGGATTTCAACAGTATCAGGTTTGTATATCATATTTATATTATTTTATTTATGTTTTCATGGAACATACCGTACTGGTCAGACTTTACCGCCCATGCTCGGCTAAGCATCCCTCTAAAATGCCCTAAATTTGGCTGTCTAATCATAAAATCTTGTCTTTGATTATTGTTTGCCTTTTACGAATAGTGTAATTGAATTTAAATAACACAGTGGTAACCATGCATAAACAATGACCTGTTAACAGCCGTGATAGTTAGTAAATACTCATTCCATATTCACCATTCAAAAATTGCTAATTACCAGTTTATAAATAATTCATACCATGTTTTCGCCAAAATCAATTCCAAAAATCATACTTTGAATCAATATTTCACTTCTGCATTTCGGGAATCCTAGGCAAATTAAGTACTATGCAGCATTCTGATTGGTTAATAACAGATTTCACCTAGCATGTGAAAGAACGTTGTTGCAGGTCAAATTGTTTATTTCCTATATTCTTCAATATTTCTGGAAATGAACACTAATTTTGGAGCCAACAGACAAAATTTTTGTAAATTTTCAGATTTTATTCAAAAAATTTGACTATTTTTGTCCCAATCTTCTGAAGGAACAAATGCTACAACTAATAAACGGGACTATTTTGTGAATTTGTGATGAAAAGAGGAAACTGGTGGTGAAAAGGTTAACCTATGAACCTATTAGACATGTGTGCATACATATATTTACCATATACACTGTAATTTTACAAGGAAAACGTACAAGGACTATGTCATGATTTATCCTACTATAAATTTATTTGTTGATGATGCTTAAAATAAAATTGCTTTTAGGTTGTTTTTGACATGTTTGGTTAACCAACATAACCACTACATTATCATCAATCGCCAAATGCTACCAGAAATGCGGGATTTGTAAACTTGTTTTACTGATTTATTTTTATGTCATTTTTGCTTTCTATTTTTCAGGAGTTTTGTTACTGAATTAACTATCTTTGTGAAGCAGCTGAAGCGAAGTAAGTTCATTATCATGATGCTGTCCAACATGTTTATGCTAATTTATGCAAATATCTGAACTGTGAGGGCAGTATTTACCAGATCAAATAAATTACTGATATTGGTATTTGGTTGCATAACTTATCAGTAGAATTTGGATGCAAAATAATCATAGATAATTTGGTTTTCACATGACTAATATTTGTTATAGTTATAGTAAAATGTATAAAAATCAGTGATTTCTGAAATGTTGGCCAAATTCAAAAGGTAAAACCTTGAAAAGTGAGGTATTTTTTGTGTCTAGGTGGTCGTTTTCAAGTGATGATTTGTTACTTTCATCATCACTAACACTGTCCTTTACCAAATATCTGTTCTTAATTTGTTGCAAGAAAAAAATTTTAAGGGAGGTGAAAAAAAAATGAAATCTGGGGAATTTTGAGAGATGATGCAATTTTGAAATTGTTATTGTATACCATCAGCTGATGACTTGTGAATAATTATGAAAGTAGACTAGAAGTAATATGAAGCGTCTCTGTCCCATTCTGAATGCTTTGTCACTTGGCATTGGTGTTCTAATAGTGACTATATCTAGATACGGTGTGTGCATGTGTACTATGATTTTGGGAAGCCATGGTGATACCTGCGACGTAGCCCGGACCACAAGATATTGAGGTGCAAGTTAGTGAGGGACCACTGTATTCATTTTCACATCTTTCTCACTTTTATTTTGTAGATGTATATGCCCGTGAACATGGTTCTAATAAGAAGCTCGGATCGCAGGCATGTGCGTTATCGCTAGTCAGACAGCTATTTCATCTCGGGGTTATAGAGCCGTATGGTGGTCCGAAAAAGAAGAAAGACTCTGAAGAAGTATGTATTTTATTATGACAGATATTCACTGTGTGGCTACGTGTACCATTACAATTGTTAGTGTCTTATGCTGATGATACAGTATTGTGTGCTAAAAAATAAATACCAAACCTAGCATGCAAATTACTGTAAAAACCAAGATTTTAAACATTGAGATTGCTCTGAATGTTGTAAGATCAGAACAACTAATTACCTACTTTGTTTCAAAATATTATTGAGTACCCGTGGACTTTTGTCACACTATATGTCACGCAGACATATTCCAATTGTTCTAATCTTAACTTTTTCAACACTAGATTTTCTTGCCAAAATGTTTCGACACTTTTTTCTTATATTCTTCAATATTTCAGGAAATTAATCCTAAATTTGGAGCCAACAAACAAAATTTGAATCAATTGTCAGTTTTTACTAAAAAAAAATTAACTATTTTTTTCCCAATCTTGTGAAGGAAAGTGCAGACTATAGACAGGACTATTTTGGAACTGGTGGTGAAAATTCAGAGCAATCTCAGTAATAAAATCCTATTATTTTTCACTACAGTAATTTTAAACCTGGTTATGTGTGCTGTCCTTACTCTCACCAGTCACACAAGGTGAATTATGTGATGGAATTGCATACAATGAACGGTCATCATTTAAAAGTATGTCATCACCAACATTGTTGTGGTCTTAAAAAAAAACATGAATTGGGCGAGATATATCATCACAAGCTTTCTACCGGTAGTTGTTAGTTGTATGATCCTGTCGGAGAAAGTTACTCCGAGTTATATGAAATTCAAGGACAAGCGACTCCACACCCGTTTCATGTAGTACCAGCTGTGATACTAATAGTTTATATATCAGCCTTTTATATTAGCCAGCCGGATTCTAAAAGTAAATCCTCTTGTTAATTACGTGTGTTTAATTAGTCTTGTTACCATGGTATTTATAGAGCCAATCACGACATAGTATTTTCATAGACATGGCCAATCACTGATCGTAAGTTTGTCCTTCAAGCTTTCCCGCCTTTTTTCACTCTTTTTTTGTGGGCTATGTTTCCTATGACGTTCGATTTAAGGGTATATAAGAATGAAACACACGCTTCTCGATATGTATTTCTTCAGTTTGTAACTCGTTACTATGTTCCAGCATTCGCTGTTGAATAAACCATTAGTTTATTAGTTTCTTAGACGAATTGCTGTCTCCGTGTCTGACATTTGTATACCCCCGCTCAAGGAGTCCGGTTTTTAACTGCATTCCCCCACAGATCCCAGGATATCCAGTCATTGAGAAGTAAAAATGAGTGTTGTTGAATCTGTTGTAGGGGTTTAATCATAGAAACAGCGATTCTTCTTTAAGCATCAATGAAAAGCAGATACTAAACTAGACTCAAAATTCACACATACTAGTGAGCAGTTTACCCTGATGCCTTACATGTATATATTGATGCCCTCCAAAATAGCAAAATATTCAATCAAAGTAATTTTGAATAAATTTCATTTTGAAATTATTCTCAAAATACCAATGATCAAGTGATTTATTTACTGAAGTAGAGATCTGTGTGTAGCTTGGGTGATCATAAAAGAAAACTGACATCTTCATTTCTGACTTGAATTTAAGGGTAATTTTAACGTTTTCTTTAGCAAGTTTGTGTTTGTTTGTTTGAATAATAGTTGGTTTTATTTTATTCCATTTCAGATGCCACCTTATAATGTTGGGATGAGTCCAGAATTGGAGACTCAGTTGTCTAACACACTACAGGCTTTTGACGTGCGGCCAGTGCCAGAAGTGAAACCAGAAGAGGTACTATATATATTAATTTGTTACTTCAAAGTTTTTGTACATGAGTTTTCCACCAATATAATAGTGTGTTACATCGTATAAGAGAAATTCATTATAGTACAGTGCATTTGATTGGTACACATTTTATGATATCATTCTACTTTACTGAGAAATTGTCACACAATTGAATACATTACTAATTAACACATTGTGTTGTCGTGACAGGGAAATGAATCTGGGACTTCGTTGGTAATTGCAAAACAAGAAAGATTTCAGAATTCACAGCCATCTAGAGGAGGAGTTGTACCGTGGTCACCACCGCAACAAAACTGGAATCCCTGGATAAGCTGCAACATTGATGAAGGACCTCTAGCCTTTGTAAGTTATACTATGGTGTCATAGGCATTATGGCAATAATGAATTTTAAACCACTTGGTCATGTGACACACATTTCTGGCAGTATGTCTATTTCGTAATGCCATACATTATGCAATATGTCTTTATGCATATTGTAAATTTCTATGGTTGTATTTAACTGTACATTACTTGTAAACAAGCATTGCAACAGCTTACATATGTTATCTGCATCAAAGTGTTAAAGTGTAAATTCTAGCGTTGACAAGAAGATAGGAATTAAGGGATTTACTTCTTGCTCTCTAGAGTATTTTTTATCCACTTTGCTGATTTTATTCCATTCAATAGCCTTGAATCATCTATTAGCAAATACAGGCATACAATAGATTTTTTGCATTTTTGTTAATTATGCAAAACATCTGCTTGCTAAAGCTTTCAATAACTCGTTATCATGTAATTGCGATTGTATACACCATACAGTTGTAGCGTTTACAAATCATAAACACATGAACTTTACACATGCAATTACATATATGCATCAGTGAGATGGCTGCAATTTAAACAGTAACTGATTTATAATATCAGGGTATACAACTTTCATAATGATATAAGGTAATACTGTAGAATACTTTATTTTAGCTGGAATTAATTTTCACTTAAAAGACTTTTTGGGTGTTTTGTATGGAATTTATTTTCACTGATTTTTGACAAGTTGAATGTGAAATATAGGAAAAAATGTATATTCGCTGGATTTTATTTTCACTGAATCACTCCTTATTAATTCCTTATTAATTCCAAGCAAAAATAAAGTATTTTACAGTATGCAATAACAATCTCACGAGGAGCAAACTCATGCTTTAAAAACTACCATTGGTTTACTTGTGTAAACAGAAAATGAGTAAATTATCGTCACAGTAAAAAAAACTCAAAACTCACATGTCACACTCAGGATCACTTATAAAATGGTTGATATTTTTACAATTTCAGGCTCCATTGGAACAAGTGAGTCAAGATTTGCAGAAATCTCAACAACATCAGATGGCTACTGACAAGGACTTGCAGAAGGTATGTATCAATGAATAGTTTAGACATTTCTGCAAATTTTGTGACCCTAAAGTCATTACTTGTTATGAAACTTGTCAAGTTACCTAATAATTACATGTGTTTTTTTTTTACAAACTGTGTAATAGTGTTCAGAGATACTTTGATGGGTTAGCTACTACAATTCAAAAATACAAATACATCGGCGTAATATGTGCATTGTCTTTAATAACAGTAGTACGTACTGCATAGAAGAAAAGTATGAAAGTTGTTTTCTATGGAGACAATGATGCTGAAATTTATTTCTCAAAACATCTTAGTTAAAAATCAAACAAGGGTAATCAGATTTTTTTAAGATTCACTTTTTTCCATTCGACAAAATACAGTATTTTTATCACTTATTATTTTTGTTAATTTCAGATGTTAGCTGAACGTGCCGAATTACCAGTACATGATTCACTGCAAAATATTTTAGAGACAATAAACAGAAATCCAGTTGTAATTATCAGAGGAGCTACAGGGTGTGGTAAGACTACACAGGTAAGTTATAGTCTCAGGGGTTGACCTGACACAACTGGCAAACAACTACTTGAAATAAATAGCAACACTACTCAGGACAACTAATATAACTGGTTGAGATAAGTGGTTGATTTAACTAGCATCAATGGTTGAGATTACTGACATGACTATTTGAGATAACTAATTACTAAGATAACAATTAATATTACTGGCATAACTAGATGTTATAACTAGTTGAAATTACTTGCATAGCTAGTTTAGATAACTTATACTAGAATAACTATTTAGGAAACTGGCTTAACTTGTAAAGATAGCTAACATAACCTTTTGAGATAATTTTTGATATACCGGGTACATGTAACTAACATAAACAGTTAAGATGACTAGCATAACTAATCAACTAGCTAGAACAACTTTTTGAAATAACTAGTTGAAATAATTAACATAACTAGTTGAGGTAGCTAGCATAACTAGTTGAAATAAATTATTGAGATAACAGAAATATCATCTGCTCTTCATAGGAGTGGATATATGAACACATGTAATCTACTGTAAAAAACTTTTTCCAGAATGAGTTAAATTTAAAAATGTGTAATGTTGTTGAATTTCAGGTACCACAGTTTCTGTTAGACGAAATGATAAAAATGGGACTAGGTGCATATTGCAATATTATTGTAACACAGGTGAGTTTACATTATACAAAATATATGATTTCTTACTAAGCTTTCAGGGCCTGGTTTGTTTATTTTAACTGCTGATAACTGTGATCCTAAACTTTAAGGTCATATATGAAGGAGAGTTACTGTAATGCCATTCACTTGTATTTACTTTGATATTAACATTGAGAGGCATTGAGAAAATCCTGTGACAAAACGGATTTAGTTGAATATTCTGAAATTATCAAAAAATAATGCCTAAAGCAACAAGACTCTTGATACAGTGTATATAGTAGATAATATTTGGTAATTGTTGTTCTAAGTAACTATTCAAACTAGCTAGAAGTTTTGAGCAATGGCTCTTTATTGATAGCTTTGAAAAAAATGTTTAAACATAATTCTTCGCTTCTCAATGGCTGTTCAATTCTGCTAAGCATAGCTAACTTAGATATAGTGCAACCTGTCTGAATTGTACACTGAATGGACAGAGGAAACTTCTCACTTTACAAAGGTATGCAGTTTGTGTTGGCTGTCTATAGAGGTGGGACTGGATCAGGTTAATACTGAAAGTGTTACTATGTGTTTGACTTTCAGCCTAGAAGAATCAGTGCTATATCTGTAGCGGAGAGAGTGGCTAACGAACGTGGTGAACACCTGGGTATGAGTGTTGGCTACTCTGTGAGATTTGAATCTGTGTTGCCGAGAGCATTGGGTGCTATGCTGTTCTGCACTGTTGGTAAGTCCCATACCTGGAGTGTGGATTATTGTAATCAGGGGTGCTTGCTGTAGGATTTCTGAAAAAAGGGACAATTAGAGGTGTATTTCCCATATTACATCAACCCAGGGTTCATTTTTTATTCTACTTGTGGTATGATTCATGGTAATCCGCTTGTGATAACAATAAGTCAGTGTCATGTATGAGACAAATCGCAAGCATCACAAGAAATGATGAAAAATTCTCATTACTACAAAACTGTGTTCTAGATAATATACATATACATGCATGTAAGTCACTACCATGTGTATTCATTCAATCTGAAACCTGAAAGTATATGTGTGAAAAATGTAATCTGTCCCTTTACTTAAAAGCCGTTGCAGCTATATTTGTATTTGTTATTGAATATATTGCCTATTAACAGAAATTGTGCATCCAAGCACCCATGTTTTTTGATAGGTCTGTTTGTCTGTCTGGTGGTCAAATATTATATCACAGCCCAGATTTCTGTTCTTCACTAGGTACTCTACTGAGGAAATTAGAGGCTGGTTTGAGAGGTATATCACATGTAATTATTGATGAAATCCATGAAAGAGATATCAATGTAAGTTATCAATTTTGTAAAGTGTGTGTGGTCCTATTCATCCCACACCGAGACGTAAAGCTGCAATCAGGTCCCTCCATTTCTGTCTATCCTTGGCCACAATCTCTGCTCCACTCCAGGTCAGGTTTGCTTGAGCAAGCTCTGTGATAATGGTTCTTCTCTATGTGGTTTTTGGCCTCCCTCTGTTTCGTTTACCCTGTGGCGTCCAGCGAAGTGCATTCTAAGAACATGACCCAACCATCCTAGTCTTCAGCTCTTAATTTCAATAATAATGTCCTGAGAATGTGTTAAAGGTCATCATTGAAGATGATCAATGGCCAGATTATTCTGCAAATTCTCTTAAGGCAAGCATTGTGGAAAAATGTTAACTTGGTCATGTCGGATTGTGTTACACGCTAGCATTTGCATGTATAAGGTATGACAGATTTTACATTGCTATTGTATAGCTTGAATTTAAGCTTCTGACTGTATTGGTTGGATTTCCAAATTGGATTTAGTTTTATGAAGGCATTCCTGGCTTTGGCTATTCTTGATTTGATGTCTTTACTTGTGCTGTCCTCTTTGCTTACATTACTGCCCAGGTAAGTGAAGTCATCAACTTCATTGATGGCCTTACCCTGAATTTTGAGTTGGTTTTGGTTTGTTGTTGTTGATTTTGTAATATAATCTAAGTCAATTAGTTAATAATGAAACAAATGAAACCGAACGTTGTTAATTCCCTCCATGTTACAATGACAGCTGTGTTTATTTTCAATATTCAGACTGATTTCTTACTGGTTGTGATTCGTGATATGGTACGTGCTTACCCTGACATGAGAGTAGTGTTGATGTCAGCAACCATCGACACTACAATGTTTTCACAATACTTTGGTGATTGTCCAGTAGTAGAAGTGCATGGAAGAACACATCCTGTGCAAGGTGAGGTAACTCCGACAACACCTTATCATGTTTCAACTTTTAAATTGTCAGTAAACAATGTATGATGAAGTAGCACTTCTGTGGGATTCAGGCACTAGAATTGAATGGGTTCAATTATCAGTGTTCACTGATGGCGTCATTGAGTGGCCCTCTAGAGGTGAAATAATGCCATACAAAGTGGACGTTTGTCGTCTACTTCACAGCCTGTTTTATACTCGATATTGAGAGCATTTCGCAGCACATACAAGTTGTTTTTATCGCCAGAATACATTCATAGATCTCAAATTTCATGTACGGAGTGGCAAAAGCCAGACCTCTGCTCTCCTTTAAGGAATATCCGAATCACTAATTAATTTCGAACACGTTTTACTCCTGTTGATACCTTAAAGCGGGGGAGTCGTCATCTGTGCATGCGTCAGGTGGTCATAGCATGTCATTGTTTACAAACACACGTCTACCCATGAGTCTTTGCGTTGTTAGCGTGTGTTGTTATCGTCGTTTGGGACTCAATTTGGATTTGTTTTTCAGAGTATTACTTGGAAGATTGTGTGCAAATGTTGGGATTTGTACCGCCATCGGATAGTAGGAAAAGAAAACGTGATGTAGATGATCTTCCGGATGGTGACGATGGGGATGATGTAAGAATCTTGTATTTACTATCAAAATACTTATAACTCTAATATAGAATAGTATTCCAAAAAATATGATTTTGTCAAATCGGAAATTATGATCAGTTACTTTCATAAAACAAACTGTTTATGGTCTGATCACAGATATGATATTGATTTTCTGATAAAAATTAGATCTTTTTCTGGAAGAGACTACTGTAGATGTATTAATTATTCACGAGGTTTGAATTTCGCTTTTTTGAATCCATGTTGAATATAAAAAAGTACAATTAATTAATCACATTTTTTTACATGAGTTTAATCTTTTGGACACCAAACTTTCTCGCCCAAATGTTTCTGCACTTTTTTTCTCATAGTATTCAATATTTCTGGAAATGAACCCTAATTTTGGAGCCAAGAGACAAAATTTTAGTAAATTTTCAGTTTTTACTCAACAAAAATTGCCATTTTTGTCCCAGTCTTCTGAAGAAAAGTGCAGACTATAAAGAAGACTATTTTGTGAATTTGTGATGAAAAGAGGTAATCGGTGGTGAAAAGAAAAGTAGTGGTTAAAACCAAGTGAATGTGCTCAAATAGTGAAATTAACTACTCATGAAAAGTAATTCTTACAGACAAGTTTTGAGAATTAATGCTTTGACAACATGAAAGGATTTGGTAGATAAACGCAATTGCAAATAAAAGCAGGTCAATAGTGTAAACAGCCATACATTATAATTCTAGAGAATGGCAGTTTGATATCAAATAATACTCAAAATAAATGGATTGTTGTCTAATCATCATGTTAAATACTGTAAAGGGGTTAATTATTCATTGGGTTTTAATTTTGCTGACTGGAAAATGCACTAAATTAAAACCCAGTGAATATGTAAAATTGAGCATAGAACACATTATCTAAATGATAAAACCGTGAATTTAAAACCCACTGAATATGCCTATACAGTATGTCTATTAACTCTTTGAGCGCCAAGGTTAACTTTTCTCAACATTCACAATTTTAGTCCCACATAATTTTTTCGTAATTTTTTCATAATTTTGATCAATATTTGTAGCCTATTGAAAATTATGTCCATTTAGTCCAAAATTGTCAAAAAAATATATATAGAAAAATGCATAACAACAGACACTATGCTGGTGCTTCAAAAGTTGATATCACCTTGGAGTGATAGATTGGCTAATAAGCTGAAAATGCATAGTGTTTGTTTGTAACTGTGTAGGAGATCCAAGGTAAAGATTTTTGTAACACTGATTATCTGTTTTTCAGGAGAATTGCAATAAAATGATCAGTAATGAATACAATCCAGCAACCAAGGCTGCCATGTCTCAACTCAGTGAGAAAGAAATGTCATTTGAACTAATTGAGGTAAGGATCCTTTGAAACTGAACTTTTTTAGCTTATACACACATGATATTTTTGATCATGAATTGAGTAAATACTGAATATGTGCAGTGAATTTGTGTGTAAATTCCCTCGAAAATGTTTTATTTTGTGGGAAACCACCAGAAAATATTGGGGGATTGTTTCCTATTAATTACGACACTAACATTCTGAATTCAGTGTTGATGACTGTTAGTAGTGAGACTATATTACATGTACCAATGATGGCAATAGAATCCTGTTACTGAATGCAAACATTTGCGTAGCGTGAAACGTTCTATGTTACTGGCTGTTATCTTAGATATATATACAGGGAAAGATAAAAAGTTTCTTTTTAAGAATACCGCAAAGTATGCACTCAGGCAGTATGGTGACGCAGCAACCTCTACTACACACCAGTATGATCACTGTACTGCCTTGTGCATACTGTACTTTGCGGTATTTTCTTATTAAACAATATTCTTGGTAGCGTTTATTAAAATCAGATTTACAAAACTAAGACTGTTTTGATTTATTCTACAGTCATTGTTGCGGTATATCAAGGGTCTTGGTGTTCCTGGTGCTATATTAGTTTTCTTACCAGGATGGAATCTAATTTTTGCATTGATGAGACATCTACAGGACCATCCTGAGTTTGGTAAGTAGTCTGCGTTCTTTCAGTTTAAAATACTCCAATAATAGAAGTACATGTACGTTAAAGTTGTGTATTTTATCTGCATTAGATAAACCTGTCTGCCATTCCCAACCCCTTTCAATGTCATTTCAGTTAATATTCTGTTTCATGTAAAGCGAAAATGGAAAAAATACTGTGAAACGGTTTAATTCTTGCTCCTAGAAAGTTTTATGATGCGATGACAATTCATTTGCAAAAGTTGCTGACACTTCATTTCATTTCAGCGCCAGGGAAATTCTAACTGTTACTGTTACAACCAGGCAGCTATTGGCTTTAATGTAAAAAATTGAATAGTTGATATGTATTTTTTAATGCAAAAAACAAAACTCTCTTAGATAATTATCGCATGCCTGTGGACTAATTGTTTTATTTACGAACAGGTAGCAGGAATTATTGTATACTGCCTTTACATTCACAAATACCGAGGGAAGACCAGCATAGAGTCTTTGAACCTGTACCAGAAGGAGTTACCAAGGTAACAGTTTACATCATCTCTGTTTATTTTCCAACCTTAGTAGATTCAGGCTTTATGCATAACTGAGATGAGTCACCATTTCCTTTCCATCGTCGTCATGATTTACTTTTAAGATTGACTATTCTGACTACTGGAATTGAAAACATCTGATATGTAGAGTATTGTTGTTTATTTCTGCAGATTATTCTGTCAACAAACATTGCAGAGACAAGTATCACCATCAATGATGTGGTCTTTGTCATTGATTCATGCAAGTGAGTGAGTGTACTTTATATACTGACCTCTGATGCCAATAATAAGAGTGTCACTCTGTTATCATAATTTCATTCCCTTTATATTCTTTAGCCAATTCCATAAGCATTCTGTAACGACTAAGGCAGATGTCATATGTGTTGTATCACACACATTTTATAGGAAAATAAAACCACGTCACATCTACCAAAATAGTTTTGGAGGATAACAAAAGCTCAAAGTTTAGTAGTAATCTCTTGCCAATGTAATTTATGAGTCTCATCATTAAGATTCAAATTTCCAATTTCTCACATGTCTCAAAGTTATAAATCTGTCGTTCTGTTTGATTTCAGAGCTAAGATGAAGTTGTTTACATCGCATAATAACATGACCAATTACGCTACAGTGTGGGCTTCAAAAACAAACCTAGAGCAAAGAAGAGGCAGAGCTGGCCGCGTCCGTCCAGGATTTGCTTTCCATCTTTGCAGTCGACTAAGATTTGAAAAGTTAGTAATTTTTTCATTCCGTTACTTATGTCAATTTCCTTCACTGAAAATGCCTAATATGTTTCAGTTGAAAATGCGTGTCAAATCCTTGCGTATCTATGATAATGTTTCTTTCCTTCTTCTATCAATAGCACTTTCAACTATCCCGGATTTCTGATTACCTTCAAAATTTGTTACCTACCCGGTACCTACTTCATATGATACCTGCGTTTTTGATATTTCTATTCGCCAGTTCGACCTGTTATTGAAATTTATCCCATGTATGACGCCTGCTCCATGAGATACATCCATTGTATAATTTTAATATCTCTGATTGATTGATGTATTCTTATAACAAGTGAGAATGAGAAAACAGACCAAAATTATTTAAGATTTTAATGTTAACAATTCAGCTAAGATTGTAAGCAAATAACACCGAATAAACGGCAAGGTAAATACTACGTCTAATTATAGTAAACACGTACTGCGTGCGTGACTCAAATCGGCGCTCGCGTACGGCACCTTAAGCTAGCTAAGATTGTAATAGTGTTTGGATAGCTGTGCTCTATTGTTTAAATAACACGTATAATTCATTGTTTGCTGCAGGCTGGACACTCACTCTACTCCAGAAATTCTACGTACGCCCCTCCATGAGTTATCACTGGCGATCAAGTTATTAAGACTTGGTGGTATTGGTCCATTCTTATCAAAGGCAATTGAACCACCACCAATTGATGCTGTCATTGAAGCTGAGGTGCTGCTCAAAGGTGACAAGAACATTGATATACCTTTTGCTTCGCTGAAATTTTTGAGGGGATCATACACATGTATACTAGGTTTGAATCACATGGACATGTACCGTAAAATCTGCATTAGAAGCTGCATCCCTAATAGAAGTCGCACCCATTATTTTGTATAATTGAGACCCAATAATTCATCATTTCTCATACATGTAGATGCTCTAAAAGAAGCCATATCTTCTCTGTTGCATTGTACCATTTTAATGAAAACTGCGGATTCTAATACAGATTTTACAGTAGGCTTGAAATTGAATATGCATATCACGCATGCAGAAAATTTTAAAAAAATTTAAGCCAATATAATTGCTATAGTAAATGAGAAATATTCTGTAAATCATTCTCTGTGACTTGAGTGTGCAGTATTTAATGGTGTGATTTGTTACAGATATGAATGCATTAGATGCCAATGATGAGTTGACACCACTTGGAAGAATTCTTGCTAAACTACCAATTGAACCAAGACTTGGTAAAACTATTGTACTGGCATGTGCTTTCTAGTGAGTGAAATACAATCATGTGTGTCTTTCATTTTGCATTGCAATTTTTTTTATCTATAAAGAACAAAAAACTTCCATTATATAAATGCACTACAAATGACTGGTCCAAGTGTGTGATTGCCGCCGTGGGTATTTTGAACATCATTAATAATTGGACCTCAGTGGTGTCAAACTATATTACACTCGTAGATTCTGCAATCATTTCCGATTTGCACTCAGATTTTTGTTTGTAAAATGTTGGCATATGTTACAAGTATACATTAGTCAATATGTTTTATAAATTATGAAAACATACATTTTGTCCAAATGTTTTTATCATCTTCTCGAATAACTTGATGTTTTGTTTGGTATATAACAATTTTTGTCTCCAATGCATAAAACTTTTCAAACGTGATAATTTTTTTCGGCAACATTTTTGTCAGTTTTTAGTATTTTGTATAGACATAATATTTTTATTGGCTACGAGTTTTGATCAAAATTTTGAAATAATTATGAAAAAATTATGCGGGTTTTAAAATTCCAAACAATGACAAAAGTTGACTTCAGTGCTCAAAGGGTTAAGAACCGCCATGTCTAATTATCACACTAGCAAGTCACTTAAAAATTGATGAAAAAAAGCTTCAATAAATTTCCCAATTCACTTTTTTCACAGCCTTGGTGACGCAGTGTGTAGTATTGCTGCTAGTACATGCTTCCCTGAACCATTTGTCACCGATGCACGGCGGTTAAACTGGACACACAGACAGTATGCTGGAACTCGTCATAGCGACCATGTTGCTATGCTGAATGCTTACCAGTCATGGGAGGACGCTCGGTAAGAAACACACTTTGTATCGTCATGGAAACTCTCATAAATGCCTCTCTTAAAGATTAAGATGTTTGTGTTCAAAGCATTTGAAGCCAGGAAACAATTAACAAATTAATTATTATTTAATTACGTGTGATTTAAAACCAAGAATAGTATCATATTTTACTTGTACCTGTTACATTTTAAACATTGTTTTGAATTGTTTGTATATGGGCAGGTGGCCTAGAAAAGCAATAAAATAAAATATCTCTTAAAAATTTGGAATATTCTTGTTAATAGGTCATATGGTGAAGACAGTGAGAGACGTTTTTGTGATTCTAAGTCGCTGTCCATGCCAACCCTAAGAATGACCGCTGAAGCTAAGGTTTGTCTAGATCTCTTCAATATACTGTAAACCACTTTAATTTTGTGATGGAAAAATGTTTGCTTCCATGTAGTCAAAATTAATGTGTCAGTAAGGGATGTGTTAACAATAAGTTATGAAGCAAGAAAAAAATGAACAAAATTATTCAAATCTTCATATTTTCTGAGGTTTGTAGAAACCAAATTAACCCAATCAGTACCCATCTCTGCAACCCATAAACATTATTGATATTTGATGATTTATTGGTGTTTGCGAGGTTGTTGTATGGTGTGATTTCTACTGTTTCACAAAATAAAAGTGATTTACAGTATTTTTTTTTCAAAATTGTTCTCACATACAATTGTTTTCTATATCAGTATTGTCACTGTATTGTCATTTTGCTTGAATACTTGGGTGTTATTTTTATCAACACTGGCTGACTCCCCTCCCTATAGTATATTTTAGTCTGTTTCAGCCTATTAAAACTAGGACAACTGATTAGCCCTCCAATCTGTCTCTGAAAATGCATCATTGTTTTGTT